AAAGTCTTCGGTTGCACGCCGGTTAGTACAGGTCATTGGGCATAGTCGGTTTGTTTTACGAGCGCCCGCCGCTCATTGCCCGCGCTCCCCACTAGGTCTGGGAATATCTCCAGCTGGCGAGTTGCTACCCTAGACCTAGACCATGCATTCACAGACTTGCAGTGTCAACAACAGCAAAGAGGCCAGATGGCGTTAATGATTAACCTAATTGCAGCAGAGGTCTCCAGGAAAGTACGTGGGAAGGTACCATTCACAACAGACAAATTGCAGAAAGACAAGAAGCACTTCACAGTCTTCAGCGCTCCGATGGTGATGCTCCACGATCGCAGGTATGCTTCCTCAACTCTTGCCCCTTCTCCTTCGGCCCTAAACTCCAAACAGACCGGATATACATATATATCTTTTTTAATTGCCCGCCGGCCTTCTTCTGACCAGCGCCTCAACGCCGAGTAGGTGCAGCGGGAACCAGCTCTGATACAACTGAAATGAACCAAGTATTTCTCAAGTTCCACCTCACATACAATGAACATTCACATGAGCGTTCATACGTGAGAAGCCCAACCGAGATACAATCCGCACAATGGCGATGCCGTCTGCTCTACCTCGCACACACACTGAACGAATCTCAGGCAGACAGCAACTCTCTCTCCCTCTCTCTCTCTCTAGTCTTGGTTCTCTCTCTCTCTCTCTCTCTATCCCGGATCGACACCTTGGATATACCCACTTATGAAAGCTTCCACCTTGGCGGCTATGGCCGCTCTTCTTCCTCAGGCGCAAAGTGCCCAAGTTGCCTTACAGCAGCACTTCCGCATCTCGCAAAATGAACAAATGATGAGCCGCTGCACTGTAGCAGCTAAATACAGGACTTGACTTGGCTTGGCCTGGCCTGCTTCAGACCTGTACCGGTCGGCCGCGGCCTGTCTGCCACAAACGTTTTGTCGGTCCGGTTGCTTTCGGACTTTCCTAGGACATGCTGCAAATTTCTGGACTTGGGACCTGTTGGACTGGACTTTTCTTGTCGGGTACCGGACGGACTCCTACCTGCCTATGAGGCTTCGGTACTGACACCTAACGACCTACGATGCTTCAGCCTTCAGACCCTACGATCTACCCTACTGGGACAGCCTAGGACTGCGACACTTCGGAGCCCTGGGACCGGGAGTGGGGTCTCTGCAGCGTGAATCCTTTCATTTGTGTTCAATCCCAAATACATTTAAGCTGCCCCGCTGAGCGTATCCACAGCCAGTTACCGATACTGTGGTAGAGCAAGCCGAAGAAAAGGGCTGCCTTTGCCCTGAGGCCAAAAAAAAAAAAAAGAACAAGCTCCAGTTGGGAGCAGACATCAGTAGTCAGACGAAATGCGCCTGAAAAGCGAGCGCTGCAAAACAACGAAAGAGAAAAATAAATAAATAAATAAATGGAAACGTGCCTGACACACAGAACAGAAGGCAAGTGAAACGGTACTCACCCGGCCTTGCTGCACTATCACCCAATCTACGAAATGAGAATGAATCTTTCGCTAGAACAGGAAAGATACACCACCATCTTTTTTGTCTAGCGAAAGATTTAATCTCATTTCAGACATTGGGTGAGTGGAGCGAGGCCTTGAATGTCATGACGGCACAATTTGAGATCCAGCTGTCAGCAACAACGGGGGGCACATTGTCAGTGGCAATTCTTCACACACAAACGTATCTGCTGCCCATGTTTCTTTCCTTTTTTTTTTCTTCGGGAGTGCTCATATTTCTTTCCTTCTTTTTTTCCCCATGACTTTCCAGACACCAAAAAACAAAAAGCCATGGCTACGCCGGACCCGGACCCGGACCCGGACATTTCCGGACATGGAACCGGACCCGTGTCCGGTAGTTTCCGGACATCCGGAATTCCGGACATTTCCAGACCTCCGGACATGGGGGGATCCGGACGGTCCGGAAATGTCTGGACAGGTCCGGAAATGTCCGGACCATTAAAATAAAATAAAAATAAAAAAATCTGAAAAAAAAGTATGTTACGCAGAATAACAACGTAAACCACTTTCGCCTCAAACTATAAAAAAGCTTACAAAAATACCATAGCTACGATCCGGACAGCCGGACAGGGATCCGGACTGACCTGTGTCCAGCGTCAGGTCCAGGTTTCCGGATCCTGGTCCGGATGGTGGGAAAATGGGGGGTAGCCCAATTTTTTTTCAGGCGGCCGAGGTCGTTTTCTTCCATTTTGGGCCGCTGTGGAAAAATGCTGGGCGTTTTTTTAAGATTTAGATGTGGCTTCCAGACAGGGCCGGACGGAGGCCCTAAGTTTTCTTTTCCCGCCCTGCACTCGTTTCAAAGCAAACAAACTGTGCACTATCAGAAGCGCCCGTATCTTCCCAGGATAGGCTGCTTMGTACGTTACTACATTTCCCCCCACGTTGCCCCCCAAAACGAAGAAAGTCTGAAAAAAAAACGAAAAAAAAACANCTCAATTTGTTCATAAATTGTTTTTTACATGTCTTCATATGAGACGCTGGGCCCGATTCCCAGCACGTGCTGCTCCCCACGAATAGATTGGCGCACGTCTTTCAGAAAAAAAAAAAAAAAAAAAAAAAAGCAGAAAAAAGAAAAAAAAGAAAAGAAAAAAGAGAAAAGAAACAGCACCTGTCCGAAAGGGCGCCTGCAACGACTCTGGGGCTTTGGGCCTGGCTGCACTACTCACCAAATGCAAAATGAAAATGAATCTTCTGCTACAACATGGAAAGATACACCACCACATTTTCTGTCTTTTGTGCATATGGTGAGTAGTGGAGCCGAGCTGTATGGTCTCCAACGGACCAATTTTTTTTCGTTTTTCTGTTGTTTTTTTTCCGTGTTTTTGGCAGATTGTCATGGCTTGCCCTTTCAACTCGTGCGCACCTTCCCAGGATTGCATGGTTTGTACATTCCAGCAAACGACAAACAAGAAGAAAAGAAAGAAAAAACAAAACCGAATATGCCATTTTAAGAAAGAAAAAAACGCCCATCAGAAGAGGCGCCTGCAACAGGGGGGGAAGAGACTTTCTGTTCCACGTTTCCCTCTGCCCGCCACTTGGCGGGTTCTCTTAGTTCTTTTCTTTGCCTATTTTTCACACGTTCGCTTTTTCACGTGACCGTTGGCAAAAAGCCAACGGCATTCCAACTGGCCTAGCCCACTTTGCACACCCACGACCTGTCGCAAGTTCGAATCCAGATACAATCAGATGACCAGAACGAAATAATTCTGAATGACCTGGGGCCGGTGATATAGCCAATGCGGCCCAACGGCATAATTCAGCCTTCTGTTGCACACCCATGAACTGTTGAGATGCAGACCTGAGATCAGCATTCCCCCCACAGTGTTTTTTTTTTTTTTTTTTTTTCGGGAAAGTACAGGAGTTCCGGACAGGGGTTCCGGGTTTCCGGAAGTCCGGATGTCGCCGAGAAGTCCGGGGTCCGGGGTCCGGATTCGGTCCGGAGTCCGGTCCGGCGTAGCTATGAAAAATACTTCAAAAACTAATAAAAGGTAATGAATTATTAATAATTAAAAAATAGGGGTTGTCTAATAAATTATTATAGAGAGAGAGCATGTCCGGACCCCCAAAAAAAGCATAAACGGGCCTGAAAAACCCCCAAAACAAGTTTGGGGGCTTGGCTCCTCAATGGGGGACCGTTTTTTTGTTTTTGTTTTTTCCCTTGAAATTTTGCAGATCCGGACCTTCCAGACCGGACATCTGGAGTCCGGACTGAATCCAGACCGTCTGGACGGCGGTCTGGACGTCCGGATCGTAGCAATGCACAGAACGGTGGCAGACAGTTTGCTCTGCACGTGTGCAGCTCTAACTGTGCTGACCCTGTGGGGACACCTTCCGACCTGGCAGTTTAAAAGCAAAGTGCACCACCGCATCCCAAAATGAAAACAAATCTGAAAAAGATATGTGATAGAGCTCGCCCTTTTGAACATTCTGAAAAAAAAAGAAGGGGTGACGGCCATGCAATATCATTGTCAAACTGACCAGCCATCAGATTCCGAAATATGAAACAAAACTGAAAACAAAAATAAAGCATTCTTAAGATCGATCTACAGATGCATAGATGCAGTTGTGGATAGATCTGTAGATGTAAAAAAAGATATGATGTTGACTGTAGACCTATGGATAGATCAATCTATCTACAAATCCCTCTATAGACCTGTAGGTAGATCTATCCACACATCCATGAATAGATCTGCAGATGCATTTTACACATACATCCATGCATAGACCTTTTGATTGATATTAGTGGGGGGCCGCGGGTTGCATGGGTTGTTGCAGTGTGAAACATCCCATCCTTTTTCGTTTTTTCAAGGCATAGAAATCGTGCTGGGATGGAGGTGTCCCCCATCCCACCCGCCACGTACACTGCCACCAAAGACTGAGACTTGATGGTGATGCAAGGAATTGTACGGGGACACGGGGTCAATGTAATGATGTTGTATGCAGCATACAGTGCCATACACTACAAAGATAGATCTATATACACATCCATGAATAGCTCTGCAGATGCGTCTACACACACACATATAGACCTTTTGATTGACATTGATTGGGGGGCACAGAGTGCGTGGGCTGTGGCAGTGTGAAACATCACATCCCGCTTGCCGCGTATGACAATGACTTCACCAAAGAAAGAGATTTATGGTTTTGTACAGAATTGTACTGACGTTCTACGGAGCATACGAACCTGCACTGGTGACGTCGTACACAGAAGACAAACCTACATTGCGTAAAACACGCTACATAGTCTCACAACAGGTCATAATTTGTAGTTCTTCTCAACAGGTTACAATTTGGACAACTCCACACTCCTCACGGTGCAAAGCCATTGGTTCCAGGCAAGAACAAAAGCAACAGATGGTGCACTTGCAAATAAGAATGCCATGCTGAAGACAGGACAGAATCCATGAGAGGTGAAACACATTGCTGATTCCCTGCTTCAGCTAACAATTTCAATAATGGTAGACGTGCTTACCATCAAAATTGTCAAGCCGGTTGACGTAGTCCATGACACGAGTTGTATCCACCTTAATTGCCGTCAAAAGAAGCAGATTCTGGAGATTCGGATTGCCACTGAAAGCAGAGTTCTGGAGCACAATTTTCTCAAGTAACTCAATGAGCTCATGCGGAAGGTCTGCTGTCATGAAGGCCATCACTGCCTTTGAGACCTGTTCTGGACTCTTGCTCTCTGGCAAAGCAGTTGAAACCACCTGTCAACCATGGTCCGTTCACAAGTCGACTCAGTTATTGTTTTCAGTAGTTATGGCAATAATCGCTATCTGTTGTGTCGCTGTGGCAAGAGCACACACTTTCTAAGCACAATGCATAGACTCCTAGCACAGAGTAGACGAAGAATGTGAAACCATGTAGGGACATTCTGGTACAGGAGAGTAGTCGAGCACAGTTTCAATGTCTCCAAAATCGTACATGTAAATCAGGTAGCTCTCTGGCAAAGCAGTTGAAACCACCAGTCAACCATGGTCCGTTCACAAGTGGACTCAGTTATTGTTCTCAATAGTAATGGCAATAATCGCTATCCGTTGTGTCGCTGTGGCAAGAGCACACACTTTCCAGAGCACAGTGCATAGACTCCGAGCACAGGGTAGAAGAAGAATGTGAAACCATGTAGGGACATTCTGGTACAGGAGAGTAGTCATGTTCATTTGGTTACCCCTTACCCTCCATCCACCCTGTTTTTGGATCGGAGCAGAATCCATACTGCAATGAACCCAATCAGGAGAGAAATTCGTCCATGTCAAAGTGCAGTACGTCTCAGGGCAACGAGCAGATCTCATCATGGCGCTTGACAGCACAGACACCTTCTGAAGACGAACAGCAAGGCACAATGTTGACACAAACGCAAACAGGTAAGGTTCCCCACATTCGACCAATCTCACAGCCCTGGTCCTCCTCTTCCTCGTGCGAGGCTGAAGTCCTCGGTAAGCCCTACTGGGCCCTGTTTCAGCCAGAACGCCCCCCCTTAGTGAAGGCGGCCCTGACAAGGCACGAGAGGCCTATTTTGCTGGGTTGAACGCAGCTGGGAAATTCAGGCAGTTGCGCAGCGCCAGTTGGTTGAGCGAGCCCAGGCCCTGCCTGCCTTTTTCCAAATGAATCTGAGGCAGGCCCTGGGCCAGACACGGGGCATGGACTGAACACAGGCCGCTGGCAGTTGGACACAGGTAACCACCCCAGACCGTGTCTGACTCCCCGGGGTCAGGGTCTCCGCCACTTGGGGCCTACCGCAAGCTTCTGGGCAGGGTCGCAGCGCAGCCAGGCAGCACGCAGCAGGCAGGCCACTTTGATAAAAGAAAGTGCCTGCCTCAGCATTGGACATTTGGGCGCTTGCTACTTGCTGCGCTATCGGCAGGCAAGCATCCACATGCTCACGGGCGAGCAAGGCACACGCAGGAAGCCATAGCCGAGCTGGCCTGCGAGATGCTGGATAGGGCGCAAAGTGGTCCTTGGGTGCACGTGGCATCTGTGCGGGGGATCGAGGTTGTGAGTGAAGCTGGCCGAGATCCGCTCGTACTTCGGGAAGCTGTTGACGCCACCAGCGGCATTGTAGAAAGGCTAGATAGGATCTGCCATTCGTAGTCTGGGCGCTGAGCGCCAGATAGGAATTCGACATTGGTTCATTGTTGATGATGATGAGACTATTCTCGCAGAGCTTTTGCTGTGCTCTTATTTGGTGGAACTCAAGTTGCAATTCTGTTTTTGGTTCGAGGTCGAGACTATCTGGTTTCATGTGTATGATGCTGCTTGGTCTCTGGAATTCGCTATCGCTCATTTTCCTTGCATTTTGGTATCAGCGCTGTGGTACGTTGCGCTAATCTGGCGCTTGTCTTCTGCCTATGCGGTGCATGCACGCGGTTAGCTGGGTGAGCGGCCATGGGAAGCGTGCATTGAGGAGGGCGAAGACAAGCAGGCGACCCAGGTGGAGAGGTGTTATGAACTTGGTTGTCTGTCGATTTTCACCAGCAGTCACACACAGACAATCTCACGCACGCCCATACATGCATAAGAAGGGGAGAGGAGACAGAGTACACACTGCACACAAACAGAGTAAGCAGCGGAAAAGCACTATGCACAGATCTGGAGATAACAAGAAGTGTTTCCCACTCTCTGACAGTACTCCCAACAACCAATCACAAGTAGACACCCACGAGGATAACAAAGGAACAATCTGAGATTGAGCCGATCTGAACCAATATCGTTACAGAGTTTGTCCCAGTGTCTCGCCACTCACAGAGCACCACAGTCCAATCCCTATACTACACCCAGTTAGTAGCGCCACACCACATCAGCCTCCCAGAGGCCTGCGCCAACCACCGAGATGAAGAACAGGAACTGTGATGTAATCCTCAGTGCCAATGAGCAACTTTGACGAAGAAAGCTGCAGCTATGGCTGCAGCGCCACTGTAGATGCCATGCACGATCTCAGAGGAAGATGTCACGACAGTGGTCCACCCACAAACTCCATGTAGAGCCTCAGAATAGCCCAGCCGATCGTAAGCACCCACAGGGGTGGATGCTCGAAGGTCGCCCCAGCTATGGCGAGCTCCAAAAGGTTGGGTATGGCTGCTGTCCACAACGAAGGTCTCAGGATGCCGCCTGTAGACAATCGTCTCCACTGTACTTACTTGAACGCTGTCATGCGAAAACCGAAAACTGCCAAAAGTCCTCACCCTAGCGACCTAGATCTATTAATAGACTAACCTAGACCTAGACACGGACTGGACCGACCGGTACCGTTTCAGTTTGGGCCTCTAGGGCCTCTACCTGCCCAGCATAGGCTCTCACGCTACGGGCCTAGGCCCTAGGGCCTCCCGCCCTAGTGATAGCCCGGGCCTGCTATTCGCAGTGCGGTCTAAGGGAACTGCGGGCTTGTAATTGTCCCATAATTGCAGATATGTCCCTCACGAGTTTCCCTCAGCACTAAACTCTCGGTTAGTCCCTGACACAAACAAAATTACGAATCTAACCCTACCGCTGTTACTGTACAGCCTCGCAGTTAGATCTCGACAGTCAAAATCAGCAAGTCACTGCAGCCTTACCCCCCCACGGAGCGAGGACCTCCGCGCTAGGGGTGTGGACGAGGAGACTGGTGAGGAAGTGAACCCTTTTGCGCTGCCTCGTAACGCAGAACTACAGACTTTGGTGAACCACCTGTCCTCAGTATGAGGCTGGAAACGGAACTTCACAAGATACTATCGGTCGGGGCCAATGCCCCACTCATCCTCAATGGACTCCACATCATATCCCTTGCCAAGGATTGGTGGACCAAACTGAGGGGGCCAGTCTGGGAATGCATCAGCTGGAATGAAAGGAAGCAGCTTAGATGCATGGAAGACCGGATAGGTCTGTAGATGCAGTGGGACGTTAATAACGTACGGCAAGCCAAAAGGATTGGAGCCCACTGTATCTAACACCTGCCACGGACCCAGGTATCGTGGCAACAGCTTGGGAGAGATATCCTCTTCCCTCAACAACTCTGAACTGGCCACCCAAACGTAACCGTCAGTACGAATGGGGGAAGGACGTCGGTGGCAATTAGCTTGTTCAATCATGGCCTTTTGGGCCATGAACAACATCAACTCTATAGCGTCTGGCAGTACCAGGAGTCAGATCAGACTTGGCCTTATTAATGATGTCATCAAGAGGCTGTCACAATTCACGTCCCCAATGTAAACGATATGGACTGAAACCAGTTGAGGAGTGGATAGAGGTATTATAGACGAGCTGTGCACGAGCCAGGTGGAGATCCCAGTCCTGTTGATCTGGGGAGATGACAGGACGCAGCAACTGAAACAAGACTTGGTTCATCACTTCAGCCTGACCATTGGCTTCAGGATGACGACCAGAAGTCATGTCTAATCGTGAGTGCAGGTAGTCCTTGCAATAGGTCTGCCACCCATTGCTGCAGAATCGGGGATCTCTATCACTGACTATAGAAGTGGGCGGTCCATGGAGAGTGACCCACCTCTCTGAAAACGCTGCTCTCACAGCGGGGACCCTAGCTACCTCTGGCAAGGCATGCCACGAGGGGTGGTCTTGCCTAAATCTGTGAAGTCTATAGACACAGACTCAGCAGGACAATCAGGTATAGGCAAGGGGTTGAGCAGTTTCAGAGGAGGTCTACGCTGGACCTTGTTTCTCTGACAGAGCTCACATGTTTCAATATAGTGCAGCAGATCACTTTATGTATATAATGTATAAGTCTGATTTATTTTATAATACATAAAATATTTCAATATCAAATAATATATTTTATCATATAAAAATCTATAAACAATATTACATAAACGATATGTATCCTATAATAAAAAAATTATAAAAAAAGATAATCAAAAAAAAAAAAAAAACTAGAATAATAAAAAAAGAAAAGAGAGTCTTATGGATAAATTTCAAAAACCTATATTAACAGAAAAAAGTATTTCTCTATTAGAAAAAAGACAATATACTTTTGAATTAGATAAAAAAACTACTCCGCATTTCCTTCCAGAAGAAGCACTGCGACAGGGTCGCATAGGACTTTAGAAACCCAAAATGACCACGTGCGTCATGACACTCTGACATCAGCAGAGTTCTCAATCGCTGGTCCAGGGGAATGCACAAGCGTTCCTCACTTCTGTTGTAGGTATACAGCAAGCCTGAGCTCAGGGCATAGCCTAATTCAGAGCTGGGGTCTGCTTGTAGATTCCTGGCTATGGGTCCATAAGTCGGGTCTTGAGGCAATAAGCGGGTAATGCTCTGACGGGTCTCCTCTCCAGAGGAGTGAGTAGAGGAGATCCGTGATGTCAGGCCTACAAGAGAGGGCATCTGCCACTTTATCGTAGCAACCCTTCTTATGTTTCAGTTCAAAGTCAAACAGATCGATGAACTGAATGTAGCATGCTAATCAACTCTCCCTGGGACTTCATCCACTGTAAAGTGGAATGATCTGAGAAGATCTTGAAGTGTCTGCCCAGGAGAAAGTGCTTCCAGTGCTTTAGCGCGCATGGTAGAGCATATAGCTCTTTCTCGTAGGTGGAGTTTTGCAGCTTTTAGGTTTTGATCTTCTTACTCATAAACTCAATGGGCCGCAGACCATTCCCATCATCCTGCTGAAGAACTGCCCCAATGCCATACTGACTAGCGTCAGTGGTCAGGGTAAATGGCAAAGTGGGTTCAGGTAGCTTCAACACCGATGCACAAGTCAAGGCCTTCTTGA